GGCTATTTGATTGATCTTATGCACGATAAAAACCCGGCGATCAGAAAAGTCTGCGACGCGTGTTTAGATGTTATTGCTGTAAGCACATTTTTTAAAGTCTCTTCATACGATATATTTTAAAACAACAAATAAACGTGTACGATACATTTTTAGATGTGTGATAAAAATTGGGCTGCTCGTATAAAAGTAGAGAAATTTCGTTCGCACAACCAGCAGTGGTTGGAGATGGTCGAATCTACAACCAGTGATAATACCAACAATCATCTGTTACCAGAAGAAGATGAAAGTCTCTCACCATTTATGAATGGCGATCTTTTAAAGCACACCATGTTATTCCCTTCTGGTAAATGATTCGGTGCATTAAATATAATTAGGCAACCATTCCATACTTGAAACGATATTAAAATTTTAATAGGTAACATGGCTTCATTCAGCGCGGACGATCGATTTTCCATTATGAAAAATTCTTCGGAATCATCTGAAAATCAAAGTCGTCCCGTCAGTAGGTAAGTCCGTTACATTTTTAATTCAATAACATTTTATTAGGCAAGAATTAAAGGCTTTCGTATTTTAGATACAAAGATTTTGACGAAATAGGTGAACTCATGGCCCGTTCCAAATCTCGTATGTCTGCTGGTTCTGGAATCGAAGATTTGTATTACAATCCTAAAGTTAAATTTCCGGACTCTGACAGTTCACATGTATTGATATAAAAAGGTAATTAGGTCATACACCATAAAATTAATACCTATATAGCAATCATATATGTTTATTTATACATGGATGAATTTTAAAAGGCTTTAAGAAACATTTACGTGATAAATTTTTTTGATCTCATAATTTAGTATATATTTTTTTTAAGTTAATTTCTTATCTATTGTACTCGATCATTTAGTACAGCCTGATATCTAGTCCGATAATTTTAATAATCAATATAGTGAATAATGTGATAATTTTCTCGGTATGTGCAATAATGTAAGATTACAAATGATTTCAACATAGTGTTATTATAATAAGGCATCATATTTATACTTTTTTTGCATGACAATTAACAAAAAATTAATAGACAACGTTAATTCAAGAATCTCATAAGCAAAAATATAATCGTAAAGATGTATTTAATAGTAAAACTATTAAGAAACTGTAGAGCTCTCTCTCCTTTCATTATCGAACACATATTCCTTTTTATATATTTAAACATTAGAACACTGGTATTAAACAATGTTTTATGTCAATAAAATGACATTGTACGCATTTATGAGTCTATACATCGTAATAAGTGATAAATTATGTATGTCATACATCTTATAGGAACTGATATTTATTATAAAGTAACATACAATAAAACACACAATTACTGAAGAATCCTTGGTTTATTGTTTGAAACTAAACTTCTTTGTATAATGGTATGAGCAGCAGGCCTAAACGCGATAGTATAGCTATTGTCACCATCTGTATAAAATGTATGTTCCTTTAAATCCCAGCTAACAGGACTGTCCAGAAACCCTTGTACGTTTAAAGCGACCCAGGGTAAGGTTTTCTGCATTGATACATATTCTCTGATAACTCTGTACAATGTTGCTATTTGTTTCCTCGTGAAAAATCCAGTCCACTGTAGATACATCGTTTGTCCGACATCCAGTGACGGAGATGGACACTGATACGTGCTGACGTAATCGTTTTCCTTATCGTTTTTTCTGAGAAGAGAAACATTCTTGACTTTAAATACACTTCAAACATGTATCAAAAATATCACATACGTACAAATTGCCGAAGGTACTAAAAACTCCGAGCCATTCGAAGAATTTATCGTGATCAACTTCGTTCGAAAGTATTGGAATTTTTACGGAATATTCGATTCTTTGTGAAAATGTTTGATGACAAAGAAGCACGCTATAATTGCGTTTATGAAACCATGCTGCTACAGATGAGGGACATATATTCTCATCTAAAAATATATATTAATATATTTAATTAAGGATTTAGTAAAGTGGCGAAATAAATTGAAAAGCCAGAAAACTACCTGGTGGATCCCATGACACAATTACATCAAATTTTTTGTTAAAACGCTCCTTTAGCGACGTTCGAACATGTTCATACTTCTTCTTACCGGGTGTAAAATTGTCCGCTTTTAAATCAATAGTCACGACTTTTGATCCAGATTACCGACAAAAAAATAAACAAAAATACGTATAATGTATGTTAGTGATTTTAAAAATATAATCTAACTATCTTAGTCTTTCTATCAACTAGAAAAATAGAAATTTTGTATATTCTCTTTGCTCCATTTTCATGTACAACATTCGTTGTATTATGCGAACGATAAGCTCGGACTTGTATCCAAATTTGTATTATTATTTCTTAGTTCGTCTCTAAATAGACTCAACTCCATAGCCGATATTCCTTGCCAATTCTCTAATTCTGACAGTCGATATAAGTTATCACAATGTTCCATTAATAATTCTACAGTTTTCATCGACAGATCGTGGCTATATAATATTTTCAGTTCTTGCAGTTTTCGCATCGGATTCTGCGAGAATATCTTTCTCACTGTCTCGTCCCCGATGCCGGTCGACGAGCCCAATTGAATAAATTTAATGTTTTTACAATGAGAAAGTAAAAACTCTAGGTGCATATTCGCACATTCAACGACACATTTGATTCTTTCCAAATACTGAAATGGTTCGACTACTAGCTTACTCGGATAAATCAGTGTATGATCTAAGAATTCACAATTGTAGAAAACTAAAGTGCTTATATCCGGGCAATGCTGGCTTATAGATATAAGTGCTTTTAAGTCGATTCCGTCTACATGTTCAAAATGCAGATGTGTCATCGCGCGACCTTTTATTTCTAGCAGTGTGTGTATGCCATGAGCATAAAAATCGCAGGACAGAATTTTCAATTCTCTTAAGTAATTGAGAGCAGCTAAAACCGTTAAGTCCATGATTTTCTCATCTCGCAGTAAACAAAGGCTTGTAATATAAGGGCACATGTCAATTAGAAGATACAAATGTTCCATGTTAAAGGTTCGGCTCTCGAACGTCCTTATATGGAGAGAACTTGTAGCACCAATTTCTTTCTGTTGAATATATTCTAAGACGTATCCAAACTCATCGCATCTACCGATATTTTCTATATTCAAATGTTCTAAGAAGAGATTCGCATAGCCAGGTATAGTCATAGAAGTTCTACATAACGTGATCTGTTTTAAATTTTTGCAGGAGAGTAAAGCACCGATGCTGCGTTCTGTTACTGATCTAGATGCAGTCACATCTAATTTTTGCAGTTTCTTACAGTTCTGAGCTAGAGCCGCTATAATATTATCCGTGCAATCAAAGCATAATATGAAGCATACTAGATTCGGCATGGCAGATACTCCACTGATAATAATCTTCTCGATATCAGACGTTCTCCAACCAGCTGACCCCGAGCCTAAATCCAAAACCTCGAGCCCGACCATGTTCGGTAATTTGTTATAAAGTATGTGGCGCATGATTTTCGGCCAAACAGAGAATTCAATCGTTTTTAAGTGCGAATCCACAGCCACTTCTGTTAAATGAAGAGCAACAGTCATTTCTGACAAGAAGACTGTTGTCAAAGCATAGTCATTGTATGTGCCCCTGGTTTCCTTAACTAGATCAACGACTGCAGTTAACACTGCTCTAGACATTTTATCATACAAGTGTCTAGGTACATTGTAACTCAACAAATGTGTCATAAGTTCTAACATCGAACATAACTTGGTGTGCCCATAATCTGGATTGGTTTTGGATATGGTACAAACATCTTTTGCCAAGTATCTACCAAATGCAGTTACTAATTTGCCAATAGAATACAATGCCAGTTCCACAAGTGTATGTACTTGATGTTTCCTTGGCATTTTGCGTTCTTCTTAGAACTTACCATAACGTGAATGCACTTTACGATCAAAGAAGGAAGCTTTGCCTTCTATGCCAAGCTTTTGAAAGTCCTCTGTTAGCAAGGACAATATTAAATGTCCAGACGGTGTAACGGCAACTGAATTGTCTAAGTCTATTCTATTGTCCACTGTTAACAGAGTCAGCTCTCCTAAAAATATTTGTAAGAAAGTAAATAACGAAACGTTGATAAACGTTAATTAATCAATATCGATCGCTTTTATCGATTACCTTTTTTGACAAATGCTTCGATGAATTCTTTATTTGTTAATTCGAATGCGTTCACTCCTTTAATTCGATAATAATCAGTATCGTTAAACATACAAGACTGCAATCCATCCGGAATTCTGAGCGTGTCAGGAAGTACTAAAGATATCTGGCGTAAAGCCAAAAGTAATTGCGAATTATGTAAAGTTTTCTTAAAGCATCACCTTTATGAAATTAACACTGTGTAAAGTCGATCTTTCTACTTACGGAATGATTAAAATAATGCGATCGCACTACGTCCGGTATATCGGGCTTTTTATGATTTCTTTTTTCAATCGAAAAATTATGTTGAGGGGCTTTGAAATTCCATATTTCCGGACTGAGCATTTTAATTTAAAGATGTTTATACTTATGAACAATATATCATTACTTTTGATGTTACTGCACGTAAGGGTAAAGTAACTTGGTTAGTTTTCAAAGCTATATTTTATGGCTACCATGGGTACTGGGTACTTTGGGTACACGTGCTTTTATTGATACTTCACATACGTCATTGTTAAAAGCAGGCTCCGGTGCCTCAATAGTGTGCGCACTACGCACGATAAGTTCTGAGTATAACAAGCGTAATAATAATTTCACCTACAAAATAGACCGCACTGACTTTCACAAGCTAATTTTTCGTAAAATTGGTGGCCCGCAACTAATCGCGAGCATATGATCGAAAGACTGAAAATCTGTTACAATCAACTTCTAATTTCATTTCTATCTATTACTACTCTCAAAAGCTATTGTGATTAAAGGTCTACTCTATACAGATCTTCAAGATCGATCTTCTTTTTGAAAAATAGTAATTCTCCTAAGCATACGGACGAACCAGAATCAACTTACAATATGATTGCGTTCTGTCGATTTTTTATTAGCTCCGATTTAATACGTTATTGTATTTCTGTTCAATAAAAAGAAAGTAGCACACAAGTGTAAGATCGTGAGTAATTATTAAATTAGGGTAATTATTTACAATTTTATTTATATAAACGTCGATACAAAGATATAAAGGTATGATTAATTACTTCTTTTTTTTTCTAACTTCGTTTGGATTCTTTCTCATCCAATATTTAACAGATTCTCCTGATCGTATACCTAACATAGCTGACTTCGAATATACATCGCGCATAACAAATGGAGAGTATCCAGCTATATAATCATCCTGTAAAGGATCATTTTTGATACGCGCTAGTCTTGATTGCCTTTGATCAGGTGTAGGTTGATCTTCGCAAAGGATCGGATTATTTGCGTGTTTTCCACCCTTTGGCATCGGTAAAGAGAACTAAAAATGTACGAAATATCTATACAGAATAGCTGCACGAAGGTATGTGTTAAAAGGAGGAAATATAGATCGTACCCTTTTTCCCTTCTTCGAAATCGGCCTACGGAAGTTAATGTGTATTTGTTGCTTTCCTTCTTCGTTCAATGTAACCGCAACTCTTTTCAACGTTTTATTGCCACAACTAGGACAGAACACTTTTGTCATGATGCTAGTAGTTTTATAACACGCATAACACCTAAGAATATACGTCCGCATTTGTTTAATTACTCTGCCATCTAATGCAGCTATGTTTAGTCCTATTTGTTTCAAAACGTTTTGCATAGCGAAGTCCATTGTTAAACAAGCAACGGTTGCAGGCTTTTCTTCCAGAAAACCTGAATCAATCTCCTTTTTAACATTAGAAATATTTCCTGGAATGAAAAAAATATTTGTCTTTGAATATAATTAGTTATTATATATATTTTTATGTGAAGTATTAGAGAATTTTACCAGGTGTAATCCAGCCACTGTCGTCATCGTCATCGTCACCACTTTCACTAGCTTCGTATTCATCGTTATCATAGCATTCTTTAATAGAAGGCAAAATGTCATCAACATTATGTTCAGTATTATTAGTGTCTTGAACTACAAAGTCTTTGGAATTGCATGATAATTCTGAGAATTTCGTAGATAAGTGTTCTGTTACATTCTCATCTATATCAGAGTTTGCCGTTTCGTAATCAGATTCAAAGGTACTGTAGGATTCATTTTCAGAGTCAAATTCATCTTCCTCTTCTCCAATATTCTTTACAGCCTCCTCTTGTTCAATTCCTTTTTTATCATTCTGCAAAATCTCTTCTTCTGATTTTTCTAAATTAGTTTCTTCACCATTTTCTTTATCAATGTCTTTCTGCACATTAAGAATCTTTATTTAACAGCTAAATCATGTATCATTCTAATTCAAATTATGGATATATATTTACTTTTTTCCCTGGTACATAAAAACCAGCTAAAGGTTTACGAAGTTCATCAGATTTTTTAACACTAGAATCTGTGGTCTGTGAAACTTCTGGTTCAGTCCTTAAATGATCTGTTCCTATGTTTTCCTTCTCCAGTTGATATGTTAATGCGATCACCTTAATGTCGGTTGCCGACAGACTAATATAATCACCAGTCTTCTTGGCAAACTCTGTGACTATAAGTATAGAATGAATATTTTTATATGTTACTCAATTGAAAATGTATTACAATAAAATTAAATCGTATTACCAAATTTGATGTTTTCAGGATCTGCATTCTGTATTGTCAAATCATACGGTAAGACAACTAATCTTCTTAATTGTCTTTTATTTTTAACTTCGTCTACTACATCCTGCTCTGTTATAATGTTAACGCCAATATCCTAAAATTCATGTATGTTTTCTAATTATATATAATGCATTTGTATTATCATACAGACTTAAAGAATTTATTTAAATAAAATTTCACCTGTAACGATGCATTTCGGATAAAGGCGCTTGTATCGACGACTAAGTACTGTACTTTTTGTTTTTCATTCATATTTAATGATTTCTGAAGTAAATCTTTCACTGTATATTATGTCCACGTGTTTTCAGAATATTCAACAATATTCAACAATACTCAATCATCAAAGTTGGAGCATGTTTTCATGAATCTCTACTTATAGTACACAATCCCTCCCTAGATTTACTTATTTTACCAATCGCCTATTAATTTTATTTAATTGTACGAAGATCGTACTATAATGAATATGAAAATACTACTCGCACAAGAAATGAATTTAATGTAAAATATATATATTATATATAATATGTCATTTCTTCATAAAGTCAATATATTGATTTCAGGTTCACATGAAAATTATTCATAAAGAAGGATATGGTTCTCGTGTTATATGATTGTGGTGCACCTGACCCTCGTGACTGTTTTTTAATAAACAATCTATAAGTGATAAGTATAAGTTTGTTTTATACATTATTAAATTTCTTTATGAAGAAATTTAAGATACTAATTATAGGGCTTGTTAAGATTACAGGAAGTTATACGTATATATATATAGTTACATTTATTAATTGTAATTTGTAATTTAATTAAACGTTAATTGACAAGACTATTAAAGCAATAGTTAGTCATTAATAATGGTTCTCAACAAACTAAGAATAGAGTAACTAAACTGTATAAATACATTACTTGGTGTCTGTGAATCGTAATACCACAGCCTTCTTTAAGACTGCAATTTTGAAAGGGGGAATCACCCTGCATCATCATTGTTATAATGGAGTCAAGATATAAGTGTTTACTCGAGGATTTTTTATCTGTTGGCCAATTGTACATTAACCAGAACATGTTATATACTCTTAAAGAACGTTATAGACAGTGTATAGATTCAGATCGTAAATTCAGTCAAATTAAAGATCTGAGAACATTATTGAAAATATTGGAGAAACGTGACACTCTCAGTTGTGATAATATAGAGCCACTTTTTTACATTTCAAATCATTTTGTAAATGACCTTCAGATGATAATCAAAATAAGACAATATAAGGATAATTTTGAGAAGACAGAATACTTTCCATCTTATAATATGAATCAGAACTTAAATGGTGAGTTTTATTATATTTGATTACATACAATTTCATTAGTTTTAATATTACTTCAATTTTCATATTTTGATTACTTCTGTTGAACTTCTTTTTATACATGTCCTAACAGAAAACAAAAATTATGAATCGCAATTGCCAGTAAAAAAGAGTAATCCATCAGAAGGAAAATATTGTGAGAAAGACGTTGCATTGCAGGACATATGTAAGCATAAGTTTCTTTCTTTGAATGATTTATGTACATACAAAATGAATACATTTTGAAAAATATTTTTAAGTATTATCACGCGTCAGTGAAAGAATTGGTCGTTCTTGGAGAGACACCGTCAGATATTTGGGAGTGCCAGAATATCAGATTGATGCTATTCATAGTAAATATGCTTTTGACTTGAGAGAACAAAGTTACCAAGTAAGATACATTTTTAAGATGATTTTATTTCTTAACGCTTCTTACATAAATTAACTGTAAACAATTGTTTCAGGCTTTAAAGTTGTACATGGCCCAATATAGTGATAATAATTGGAAACTAGATTTAATAAAAGCTTTAGATAAAGCAAGACGTAGGGATCTAAAGGAGCTTGTTGAAAGATTAATAATAGAATTGGATAAATGAACAATAACAGTTTCAAGGATAACTGTAAATAAAAAAAAGTACTAGGCACAAAAAATGTAATTTGTTTTTAATGTATTTGTAAGAAATGCTTAAACATAATTGCTTCAAACAAATTACGGGATATTGTTAAATATGACTGTGATGTTCTGAAGCAAAATAGGTTGCTGTATTTTGTCCATCATTTAATAACGACAAGCTAGCTATAGGATGTCTGAAAAAACTTATTATAACAGTCTTTATTACCCCTGCAAATAATATTGAAAAGATACTAAATCAAATATTAGAATTACACAGAATTAAGATTTATCAAACAGTCGATTTTAAAATACAGCAGCCTGTTTTCTATTTTAACCAGTTATTAAATTATATATTACATTAATATAATTTCTTATATCAATGATATACATCTGTATCCAGTATATTTATTATTAGTTGTTCATCAATGATTGTGAAAAATATTTCGAATATTTCCAGTTCCAATTGTTCATCGGGCTATTTGATAATTCGAATTTCTTATATTATTAATATGTGTATAATGTTTGACAAAATTATACTGTACGACGAAAATTTATACAACGTAGGCATTTTTTGTTTGACTTCCTACTTTGACCATAACATCTTTATGTATCTGGTATCCTATAGGAACTTTCGAAGCAATCTTTAATCTTTCTTTCAATTTGCGCCTGTGAAATGAAAAATGTAATTGTTAGGTTTTATACAAACGAGTTTTATAAATACATATATACATCAATGTTTACCCAATTTCCATAACACTATTTTCATTGTTGGCATTCGCAGTCCATACACCTATTTTATCTCCTTTTGTTCTGACATTTACAACAGCCCCACAAATATCATCTGAGTATCCATTAAACGCTTCACCAATCATACATAAAAGGATTTCTAGCCAAAAGTTATCTAAATCTGTGTTTCTCTGTTTCTTCTCTAAGTTTATAAGCCACCTTCCACCACACTTGTTGGCGTCATCTTCCCACATAGGTCTAATTCCTTGCTTGAACATACTATAGTCACAACCTTGCCTTAAATCTGACGCTGCTTTTATATGATTGTACAAACTGCCAAAGAAAGTACATTTATTAACAAACAAATTCTATTATATCATGTAAATTTACAACCTACCTCCAGAAATCTTCAGCTGTATCAAAACTTGTAATTTTCCTTTGGCTTTCTTCCCATGTCTTGTTTCTATCAGGTTCATAATACCATAGAGTCCATGTATGTTGGAGTGGATGTTTAATTAATACTTCCGGTGGGAATTCATCAAAGTTTACTACATCCTGATCATTCCTTTCAACTTCCTACAAATGATTATATTTACAATCCTAGGTTTCCTAATCTAGTAATAGTAGAAAATGCATCGAAAATTTACAAAATAAGAATACATGTCATTTTTGTAATTGTAATGCAAAATAGTTTTGCTAGAAGTAATATAATATGTCTTTTTTAAGACAGTTTTCTAACTGTGCTTGGGGGCAGCTGGGAGGGGTGAAGAGTATTCAAGTACCACGCTGCCTCGAGAAAAAATGTTTTGATTTTTTCCTACGTCCAAGTTTCAAACTTATTCGAAACAAGTATTGTACTAATTTTATGGAATACGTGATATTGTAGAAAATATTAAAGGGAAACTACCTCAATTTCTTCCGTATTACTCGTGGCCATGTCAGAAACTTTATGCTGCTTTATGCACAATATGTTCGACTCAGTGAACTAACGGCAATGGCATCTGTCGGCAAATTTTTACACAAAATTTCTTTTCTCGATCAAGAAACGCGAGAATTGCGTCGACGCATCAACACAAAATTTAATCCGAGTAATTAGCGAAGATCGGAACGATCATTTTAGTTTTACTATTAGTATAATATAATCAACAGAAAAAAACAAAGGAGAAACACTATACGTTCTATATGCCTAATCTTAGTTTATTTTCACTCTTTTCTCTTTGATATACTGATGGTGAGTCGATATTATATATTTTATAGTATTGCGGGAATTTTTTTAACGTTTTATCCAGTATAATGACACTACCGTTCGTTTTTGTTTTATCTCTCATATTTTATGTTCATGCAATTGTTTATTTTTCGATATGTATAATTTTGACGATTGTCTTCTATTAATGCAGGCATTTCTATGTTTCCGTAAGTTATGCGGATGAATGATTTTAAATTAGAATAATTGTTTGTATTCTATAAAATTAAAAATAAGATTATTTACATTATATTTACAATGTATATAGTTGAGATGATGATTTTATAATAAATCTGAAATAAGGGTTGGTATTCCTGTAAGCTAGAGTTGCTTGAGTTGCTTGGCCAAGCTTGACATTGACACTCAATGCAACTCAATGGATCTTCTTGTGTTGTACATACATACGTATAATGTATTTACACCATAATTTAAGGAATATACTTTTTCTCTGAGGATTATCAACGATTTTATCTTCATTATGAAACGTTCGGTAAAGATTCATTCTTCTATTTCTCCTAATTTTACAATCACGTACATAATAAATTTGCAATTATTGCCAATAATAAGCTTAGGGTAGGTTAGTCAGGGATTGTATAGATTTCCAAATATCTCATAATCTGCCTCGATTTTTCAATGCTCCTTGCGTCGAACGGATAATATAAAATGATACATTCCTCGTGATTATAAAATTGTTTCATGTCTTCTCATTTTTAATTCACAATTTTTCAATTTTCAGATAACTGACGAAAATGGAGAAACAAAACGTTCTTTTGTTAAGCAAGAGGGTATCAATATTGGATATGAAAGTACTTATCCTTCTTATACTTCAGCTTCACCCTCGCCTGCGACCGTCACACAACCCTTGCCAGGACAACCCCCATTACCACCTATGCCGCCTCCTCCTCCTAGTGGTGTTCCACCACCTCCTCACATATTTGGACCAGTGCCTTCTCAAGTTACACCGATACAAGCATGGACACATCCTCCTACACCATGGCAATGGATAACACCACAAGCATCCCCTTTACCACCTCCACCCCCACGCGAAATGACTGCCAGTTCATTTCAAAGAGACTTACCTCTACGAGGTAATTATATGAGAAGAGAAAGATTTACACATGCTAAAAGTAATATATATATTCAAAGAAATAACTTTCACCGTAAAAATAGAAGGCTTGCAAGGTATGGACAAACTCAAGGTCAGTTTGATCAAGCAGCATACTTTGGCACCACATTGAGCAATAGTCTAGGCTTAGAATGGCAAAGAAATAGTTATACCACGTCCACAGGCGATACAATTATGAATCACATGCCTGTTCCTCTCCCTAATCATCCCTTACCTCCTATACCTCCGGGGATATTGCCAAATAGGCATGGAGAAGAGACTACGGACCAGGATGTTAAAACTGTACTGGTAAGACACGGTGACATACGAATTTGATTAGACTGTTTTACAAATTATTATGTCTACTTTAGGAGGAAGTTGTAGTCAAAAAGAATAAACAAAGGAAACCTATGTCTCAAAGTTACCCTAGTCGACCATGGAACAGAGAAGATGCGGAGAGAGCTTTGAAAATTGAAAATGAATACAATAAAACAGTGAAAGCTCAAAGCTTAATAATAAAATTTCCAGATCCTGATTTAAATAAGGATATCGTCAGGGAATTCCATCCTGGCATACAGAATATTCATTTTCAAAGTCCTAGTGGCCCTAGATACTGTTTTATACAGATGGCGGAAAGTGTTAATATCGACGAGGCTATAAAAGAATTAGAGAAAATACCTTTCGGTGTAGGTCACTTAAAAGTTGAACGAAAATCATTAAGGGATGAAGATAATCCGATGCCTGAAGAAATAGATCCTTACACATTATACATAGGAAATTTACCGGAATCTGTCAATGTTAACGAAGTTAAAAGTAAATTTCCTACGGCTGCCCGAGTAGATGTAGGATACGCTCAGAAAATGCGAAATACTCGGTGAGTTATTATATAATATTTATCTATATGTATATATATTTATATATATGTTTCTGCAACGCGTTTTACAGGTATGCTTTCATAAGGTATAATAGCGTAGACGAATCCATATCTGCATACAAACAAGCACACGATTTAATGTGGGATACCAGAAGTATCATTGTTAGATTTCGAAGGCAGCGTGGTAATACTTGTCTTCCCGGGGAACCTAAACCTAACGTGAAGAAAGTTAAAGAAGAACCAAGTAATATCTCGTCAACGAAGAAAGATCAACTGTTAAATCACGTGGATAAAAATATATCGGAATCGAAAACTGATGTAGGAAACAGATTACAAGACAGTTCGAGTAAAATACAGAATAATGCATGCTCTCAGGTTCAAGAGCAGAATGTAAATTTACAATCCTCATCTTCCCCTACGCCGACTTCAATTGCACCTGCCAAGTCGGCGCAGCAACAGCAGCAGCAACCATGGGTAGGAAGATATGAATATAAATACATATATAGGGAACATGGCTAAAAAGAAAAAATGTAATTTTGTTTTCAGACTGCTCAGACTCCTCAGATACCATCAGCATCTGAAGCTCCGCCGCCATGTTCGACTGATGGAGAGTCGATTAAGGAAACGACAATGCTTACAGAGATTAAAGAAGAACCAGAAGATTACGAAGAAATGGACATGGCTTGCAATATACGATCTGATGATGATGTTGACGATGACGACGACGACGATGATGTAGAAGAGGATGAAGATGATTCAGATGATAATGATGAGGATAATGAGGACGATTATGAAGAAGATGACGACGAAGAAATGAATGAAAACAGAAGCTTATCAATGAACAATAAAGAAGATATTCCCAAAGATATTCCCAACGAGCCATCCGATGTAAGTAATAGTACTCAGAACGAAAAGAATCTTGTGTTATAAATAAATTATTTTTGTTTCAGCATCTCGATCAAATGTTTAGCGAGTTAGACAACATGGCCGGAGATATCGGTTTTTAATTACATTTAAAAAATTGACCTCACACCAATTAATATTTATTTCGATGTTACGTACACCATTTGTAAATAATTCTAATTGGAAAGTGAGATGACGAGTGTAATAAGTGAGACTGCATTTATTTAACTATCATGTTAGTAGTAATCGTCATATTTAAAT